CCCGCGGGGGCGAACGGGGCGAGCGTGGGGCTGTGCGCGCTGAGCTGGGCAGCAGCGGGGGAACCGACCCGGGCAAGGAGGTTCCCCGAGGAAGAGGTGGGGTGGGTCGGAGGCCCACAGGTGGGCGAGGGAGGGTGTGCAGCGGGCGGAGCCACTTTACCTGGGGATGAGGCCCGAGAGTAGGCTGTAGGGGCCCATTATGAGGCACACTGAAGGGAGTGACATGTGTGGATGAGATCGGGCCGAATCGTAGGATATGGAAAAAGATGGAAGTAGAATTTGAAGAATGGAAATAGGCCCAAAGTGTGGGGAAAGAAAGGTTGTAAAAACCGGCTACGTGAGTCCAAGGGAAGTCGGGTAGGAGGCGATGGGAACCGGCCTTCATCCAAGAGCTGTAGGCGGAGAGCCGCAAGGAAGTTTCTCAGATCACCGGCTAAGTGTTTTCATACAGGTCAAGTGCTCCCTTCAGTCGGTCTCCTCTACGTATAATTCTCGATTATTTGTCCTATAGATGGAAGAGACCCTCTCCTCCCAAGCTCCCAATTCTAATGTGCACAATTCGCCGGTTAATCACAGCCACAGTATTTGCTCAATTGTATTTTAGCACATGCTTATATAAATACATAGTGTAGAAATAGTTTGCTATAGAATGGTGCAGAAAAAGTGAAAAATGAAAAGAGAATGTAATGAGCATAGAAAGTAAACATAGAGAGAGAAATTGTGAAGAGCAAGGGCAATTTAAGGGCACAAATTAACGAATAAATGTGATATAAACATGAGAGTGAAAAATGGTACGAGGGAACTAGAAGCATGACAGGTTATTAAAGACAAAAGAATTTAGTAATGAAGTGATTGTAAATATCCCTCCCTCCTCCTCTCCCTCTCTTTCTTCCATGTTGTCCTATTCTTTAATGTTACCTATTTTGCAGTGATTAAAAATTATTTGCTATTTGATAATAAATGTTTAAGGATTAGTTGAACATTTTTTACACTGTACATGACAGTAGAGTTTCAAGGTCACATTCTCGAATCTCTTATCACACTGTTTATATATAGAGAGAGAAGAGAAATGTATTGGTCAGAATAAGATAAATTATAAACACCCAAATGGCAAACATACATCCATTCTTGTTCAGACACCAAAACAAACTGATGAGAGATGATCATGGCTTATAAATTATAGATATCACCGCTGTTGAACAGAGGCTATTTTTGTTCATTCTTGAGATCACCTTTCTTGCTGACAAGAAGTATCACTTAAGAATCACTCTACCTAGCTGGCAATTTGGAGAAAATAGTTATTTTTGATACTGAACCTTCATTTGGTTAAAAGTCACTCTCACTATTCATTCAAGTAGGAAAGCAAGATACCTATTCAGCTCTTGGAATATAAGATATATGTCTTTCTCTTGTTCTAACATTCCATTAAAAGACATTGAAAAGTCTATTAGATTGGTTTCTTGAAGCTACATGAAGACAGATTATAGAGATTTTAATGCATTTTGCACTGTCAACTGTTGATAATTACAACTTAAATTATTATATACTTCATAACTATGATCCTTACCTAACTACTATGAACTATCTTGTAGCTTTATTTTTGTGCCAAACAAGTGTATGATAATTTGTTGATTAAAAAGTTCATTTAAACACAATTATCTCATTTTATTGTTGTAAAAGAAATTTATTATTATCCCTATTTTATAGGTGATAAAACTTAGTTTTTCCCTTTCTGATTTGCCCAAGGCTGATCAGCTAAGTTGAAGTCAGACCTCACATCTAGTTCTGTCTTGTCCTTTATCTTTCTGCTATACTACTGCTACCTATAAAAACATATGATGCTCTGTGTAAGTTTAAAATCTTCACAATTATAGTCCCATTCTCACTTTTCTATTTCTAGGACACACTTTACATTTACATTTTTAGCTCTTTTCCTGACTTTTATTTAGAGAAAAGATTGAATGTTAAGTGGACGAGAAGGGCGGGAAAGGACGAGTTCTGGCAGCACTCAGCCTTCTATTGCCCTGAACATTTCAGATATGGTTCTATATTTGCCTCTCCCTAACCAGCAATACAAACCTGACAGTTAATCAGACTGAATCTCCTTAAAAGTCATGCCCCTTGAGGATTTCACTCCCCCAAGACATCTAGTAAATACAGTTTTTCCACTTTATTATTTTCCAGTGATGTTTTAGAGTCCTTGAGTTGTTTAGTACCAATCTCAGAAGTAGTGACCCAGGTAGCTATTCAGTTCTTAACCCTAGTCCAACTGTTACTGCTTTACCCTCCTACTACTGGGTCTTTGGGGTTATTTTACTTCAAATATTCTAAAGCAGGGCCTGAATAGGAGAATAATTGGGTGCCACTAACCTAAGGTACTACACTAGATTCTATCAGTACTATCAATAACCAGTTCCTTCAAGTCTTTGCTCAGTGAGTCATCTTCTCAGTGAGGCCAATCTACTCTGACCGACCCTATTTAAGTTGCAGTTTTATCTCACCCATACTCCCTGCCCTGAATTCTTCATCCCCTTAACTTCCTCAACTTACTTCTAACATACCATTTACTTGTTTATTATGTCTTTTGTTTTGTCTGTCTCTCCCAACTAGAATATAAGCTTCACAAGGGAGAATTTTTTTCTCTGTTTTGTTCATTGATGTATCCTCAGTTCCCCAAACAGTGCCTTACAAATGATAGGAACCCAAATAGATTCAGGTTGTGTGACATCTTACATTTATACGATGTGGGTGTACATCCCCAAATTCAGGGGGGAAGAAACTTTATTATTTAATTATTCCATATACCTTTGTAATGATTGTTTTCTACATTTTTTTTGGTTACATATTCTTTGATTGCCTTTCATATTTTGTACCTTTTTTTTATAGAGAGAATAAAAAAATAATTCTATTCTTCCTCTAACGTGATTGATCAAGTTTTTTGTTACATGTTTCTCTTCAGGATTCCTATAGCACTTTTTCCATGTAGCTAATAAAGCACCTGTCAATTCTGTTATTATATATATAATTTATGTATATCATATATTTATATATTTATATGTAAATAAATATTTTATTTTTTATATATAAAAACAACATACTTCATCTGCTATTCCTAGAGCCTAATGGAACCTGGTACATCATTCCAGAAATATTTGTTAAATCGAAATAAAAAAGATGATTTCTAAGCTATGACATCAAGGAACAAGAATACAGGGAAGAGCACTTTAAAAAGAAGTGAAAGTTAACAGCAGATTTATTTTATGCATATACATGTTAAATACAAAGCATAATTTTCCATCATGGTGTGGTAGTCAATAGTGAGGTTGGATACAGGCATAAGCCAGAGCATACTGGACCTTAAACATTCATGATAAGGTGTTTCTGTTATTGTTCTACAGCGTAGAATAAAAAGAAAGTTGGATACTCAATAATTAATGAAGTGTGTTAATAGTATCTTATATTAATACAAGCCAAATAATTACTACTTTTTAAATTTTTATTATGAAAATGTTCAAAGATACACCGAAGTAAAGTACTAAAATACTCCCTACCCTCAATGATTATCAACATTTCAACACTTACCAATCTGTCCTTGCATTTTTAAAATTTGTTTGTTTCTTGAAGTATTTTAAAGCAAATAAGCATAAAGATTATTTCACTGGTAAATACTTCAATACATAATTCTAACAGATAAGGACTTCTTTTTAGCATTATCATATTACCACTATTGCATCTAATAAAATTAACAATAATTCGCTACTATTATAGAATACCCACTCTATGTTAAAATTTTCCTTGATTTTCTTAAAAATATAGTTTTGCTTTTGGTTTATTCTAATCAGGATCAAAAAAGTCTACAGTTACCATTTTGTT